TTTTTTTTTTTTGGAAGCAGGAGTAAGAAGCATTAGGAATTTTCCAGACACTTGGAAATTGCCATACATGTTATATGGACTAGTGCTGCTATGTCCTGGGGGATCCTGAAAACCCAGGAGAGATGCAGACCTCTGTCATCGAGTGAGGGCCAGGGGAAAACAGGCTTCGCCTGCACACTCTGTCCTCTCTTCCTGAGCATGAGAAGTAAGGGCACAGACCTCCTCCCGGCCTGCTGGGCACACAGCATGCAAGGGAAGTAGCACAGAAGCGTACAAAGAGCCCACTCTGAAAGCTGCCCAGCGGGGCCCGCCCCTGCATGTTCCTGTTAGGTTTTCACTGCTGTGTGGAGGGGCCTGTGTTACCATGTTGCATGCTTTTCTGGTTGGTTTTCAGGGCTGTCTTTAAGGCTACTAAATCAGAGAGGCCAAGCCGAAATCACTAGGGGTTGAAATCAAGCGGCTTTTGCAATATGAACAATGGGGTCAGAAGGAGGCAGCCAGGAGAAAAAGCCAAGTGCAAAGTGCCCCCGCACTGCCTCATCCCTGATGCCTGCTGTGGGCACAGGCAAGAGGGGAGAGGTGCTTGTTCAGCATGCTGGAGACTAGGAGGGGGCCATCGGAGTCTGCAGCCGCCCCGAACTGGAATCTTCTAGCCTCTTCCCAGGTCCCACCTCAGAAACTGTTCCTAAACTGACTGAAAAGAAGGTAAAATGAAGGTTATGAAATGTGGGGTCGAATAATGCCAGTTGGTGGGTCAGTGCTGGGACCCTCACTGGAGTGGGAGTGGCCAGTTTGACTTTTTTTTTTTTTGTATAGAAATGCCCAAGTGTTCGTCTTCTCCGGAACATTAAAGAGATTGACTAACTTTTAAAGGTGCACTGATGAGGAAACACAAATAGCCATGAAAAATAAATAAAAATTCTTTTACCTCATTCACGATTAAATAAATGAAAATGAAAACAATAAGGATATAGCTCTTTGCTCATCAGATGGGTTATGTTTAAAAAATCTTTGATAATGTCTCGGGCTATTGAAGGCTTACAAACACAAGCATCCTAGCATCATCATACTGACAGTATGCAATGATACAACCATCTCAGAGGACAATGTAACAAGTATACAATGTATATTATTGTATATCAATGTACACATTCTCAGATCCGGAATTTGCCTTCAGTAATTTCTCTTCCCAGCAGGGCTTACTGCCTGCACAAGTCTGAATGCTTATTAACCAAATCAGTAGTGTGTGTGTGTGTGTGTGTGTGTGTGTGTGATGTATTAGCACTGTGTTTTTTTTTTTATAGTCATTGGTCACGAAGTGGCTACATTTGCATGTGTTGATATGGAAAAATTTTAACTTGCTATTGTGCTCGCCAACAGCGAATTTGGCAATAATGGTTTTACGGCACGAACATCTGTGAATGTGTATGCACGTGTACTCACATGCATACTCACCTGTGTAAGCCCGAACAATTTCTGTAAAAATGCAGAAGAAATATTAAAAAAAAAATAGTACCTCTGGGGAATGGGAATGAAGGTCAAGAAGCAGATTTTACTTTTCACTTGATGCACCTGAGTATGACTTATCTTTTTATTGTCATTGTTGCTACTCTTGTTATAAAAGTAACCTATTTCTATAGGAAGAACTGAAAGCACCCCATAGGTCACCTTCTGAGGTCTGATGAGAACTGAGGTCTCCATCCCAGCCCCTCAGCATTGTACCCACGCTCCCCCCATTCAGACGTTGCTAGGCAAGCCGCTCAATACGCAAGTCAACCGGAGCACTGGAAAATGGGAAGTAGAATGGGATGTACAGTTCTCACCCAAGACCAGAATTTGTGGGAAGGTGGCTATATAAAGTTGTGACTCTCCTCTGATTTTTATTTCAGCTTGTAAAATGCTAGTCTGTGGTTCATTTCAGCAAGAGTTTTTGGACAATCATTTTCACAGTTGATTAAAGGGCCAAGGTTGTTTCTCCCCAGTGAAAGAGATTAGTCCTTGTGCAAGTTGTTACAAGGTTACTTACTCATGCAAATAGACAATGAGCCCAGTAATTGTCCCTTGTTCCCTGTTCATGTTAGCACGGATCACCACCAGTACGGAAATAGTCATGTCACTGACCAGGCCTTTCATTTCAGAAGTCAGAGGGAGGGGCGATAAAGGTCAAACCTGATACTGCAAGTTTTCTTGCAAGATGATATTTACAGATGTGCATAGAGAACTCTGCATTCCTATGTAATTGCCATGTGAAGAATTCTGATCACAGTTACATTCTTTTCCTCCAAAATCACATATACGTAACATGCAGAGCCCTTCAGGACTCTGTAGACCCTATGGTTAAAGCCCTTTAAGAAGACATGCTTACACAGATAAGGTTATTTATTAAGTCAACAAATGGGTCAGTCTCTGAGCTTTGTTTGTACAGAGAATCAAAATAAAATGAGATATGGCTTTACACAAAGCTTTCAATCCAGCAGTTTAGTCAACATTTTCTAACTACATACATTACATACATATACAGAAATGCACCTATATTAGGTGAATCGATAGAATAGGTTTCCTTTTTATGGTTTTAATGCACTGGGCAGCAGTTTTAATGTACTGGGTACATAGGATGCCTGAGTGCATTCACATTCATACACACACATGATAGTCAAATAGTAAAATCTTTGTCTCTGGGATGAGGACCTGTCAATTTGTCCTCAGTTAAATGCAGGGGCCAATAACAAATGCCACATCCAATAAACATGTTCAAAATTTTCCAGTAATAATTCCTGTGATAGATGGTAATTGAGGTTGCTCTCCACCGCCTGCCTCCCAAGGCAGAGAGGTAATGCAAGGAAGAATAACATCCTTGTCACAGTGTAAACTACAAGACATCCGGATTCCAGAGCACAGTGGCAGAAATGTCTATGGTAGTCATAGACTGTCGCAGAGCAAGGAAAAAAAAAAAAAAGCTCTTTCCAGAGCTTACCTGCCCTCAGCTATGGAGCTCTGGAGACTTCAGGTGAAGCAGAAATCAATTATAAAATGTAATCTAGGGAAATGTGAAATGAGACTAAAACTGAACTTTGAATAACAAGCCCAGATAAGCATTTGTAAGCCACCCTATGGGGATGAGCCAAATAAGCTACTGAGGGCTTGTTCCTGTGTCAAAATAACAGAATTCCTGAATCCATTAAAATCAGAAAGCAATCACTTATCCAAAGTCAAAATATTGTATTATTTTGGCATATACTCAACAAGATGTATAAACAATGGGTTCCACAGCCTTAAATTTTGTCCTGAATACTACAGAAGGATCTCAATCAGAAAATAGAGAAGTGACATACAGACATTAGAATTCCTGGAGCAACTGACCAGCCTGGAACCTGGGTTTAATAAATACAGTCTCCGCTACATATGCTAATACCTTACTACTCTGATCTCTCTGTGCTCTTTCCTTCTCTCCCCTTCCTCTGTTTCTTTGCCCTGGAGTCCTGGTTACCAAGTACCTTGAGAAAGAGGAAGAGGGAGAGGAAGGAAGAAAGAGAGAGAGAGAGAGAGAAAGAGAGGGACTGGATATGATACTTAAAAAATCTCTTTTTTTAATACCCAGTCAGGTCAGGCATTATGCCTAGATCCTTTATTTCAATTGGTAGGTAATTTTTTTTCTGTTCTGTTTTGACAGGGATAACTTTTCAAATTAAATCCCTTTATTGAATTTTCACTCTTGGGTAGTTTCTGAAGATGCTGCCTTTGCAAAAAAGTAAAATAAAATAAATAAAATTAGAACTGATCTATTTCATGCCATGTGAAAGCTGAGCCCGAGATGACAGTTTGGCATTATCTACCTTCATGGCTGCAGGGAGCATAGGAATAATGTTGGGTGAAAGAAAACGTGCACATCAGGGAAAGTGACGGCCTTATTGTTTTCAGGATATGGGCTTATGTGCATTAGATGCCACAAGCCAGAAGTGGTATTATCCCCAAAAGCTTGAAAATGAAAGCAATCTGGGATGTTACCAATTCCATCCGGAGCTTCCTAAACAAGAGGTGCAGTCATGGGAAACAGACCCTAAAGCTCTTTCATTAGTTTTACGTTGTGGGACTTTTTTACTTTAAATGTGTTCCGCTGACCAGCAGCACAGGCTTCGCCTGGGAACTTATTAGGAATGCAGACTCTTGGGCCCCTGTTGAATCAGAATCCACATTTTAACAAGATCCCTCACTGGGCCATGTTATGTTCAAATTTGAGATGCAATGCCCTAAAATTTTCCAACTTAGTAAGTGATTCGGTCACCCTGACAATTGGTCAACTATGTATCCACTCACTCAACTAATATTTACTAAGCTCCATCTACATGTTGACAATGTGGCATGTGCTGGAGAAGCGATATTGACTGAAGATGCACATGGCCCCTCCTATCCTAGAACCCAGAGGCCAATTCATTGTAATTAATCACTATGGATGGTTCAGACATCCATTTCTACTTTTTTAGCTTTTTATTTTGAAGTAATTTTAGGCTCACATAAAAGTTGCAAAAACTAGTATAAGAGTTGCCCTGTACCCTTTCTTGGCTTCCCCCAAAGATAACATCCAGTATAACCACAGAATGAAAGCAAATAAAGCATGAAATCGGTTTAGACTGGGAGTTCAAGAAAGACTCTCCTAAGAAATGGATGCCTTCTCTGGTTATGATATTATTCTATGGTTTTTTTGAAACCATATCTGATAAAATAAGGAAACTGGAAAAACAAATCAAAAAACAGCGGCAAAAACATAATCATAACAATAACTACAAAAACACTTCAGAAATAAGAAACGGGGGCATTTCCTCATTACCTGGAAAGGAAAACACCTTGACTGGATGAGAGATGTTGGAAATTGTTAAGGCAACTCTGGATTACTAAGGACTTGGACTATTGCTGCTATGTTTTCCCTAGACACAGACTTGGCTCATGGTAGATTGGTAAAACTAGTATTACTATGAACATCATGGAGAAGATGAATTACTTACGACCATCTACAGTTCTGGCCTCGAGATGCACAAGATCTGGTTCCTTATTTGACCCCATCACAGACCTAAAAAAATAAAAATGGAGAAAGAGGAAAAGGAAGACCAACATTAATGACTTCACATGTGCCTCAGAGAAACTCAGTGGAGCCCAGGGACTACTAATGTTCGCAGGATTTAAACACCACAATCCTTGGAATACATCTGCCGTATTTATTTATATAGCCTGACAGTAAAATTTCCACTTCAAATAAAGCTCTAATGAAACCTTTATTTGATGAAGGCCAGGCTTAAGTCTGACAAGGATATTGCGTGTTATTAGCTCCGACCTGCAAATAAGTCCTACACATGGCCCGGATGTCCTCCTGTGACAATCTCACTAACCATATATTAGACTTTCAAGACATAGCAGGCAAATTCCAGGCAGGCTGCTTTAGCTGGGTTGCTTGAACAGTGATTTCCAAAGCAAACTGATCTAATTAATTTTTTCATTTGAAATTAGCAGAACTGGTTCCCCTATCCTACGCACTATGAACATATCATGTGACTCCACCCGATGCAGGGGCCAGTATTGGCACAGAGGGACCATGCTCTGTGTCACTGAACCAGTGTGAGAGGAAAATGCAGATGCACCATACTTCACAGTAGGTGCTTGGAACCATATGTGTAAGCAAAATAAAATAAAAGCAAAATAAAAGTCTATTTAAAATGCCTTGGAGGCACCTATTATTTAGTGTAGTCTTGCAGTAAGCCTTATTAAGTAGAAAATAATTATTCTGTTACCTGAGCTATAATAGATAGTCAAATGTTGAATGAAAGAAGGAAGGAAATGAACAGAGGGCAGGAGTATATAATGGTCTGTGAGCTCTTTGAAATAAGTAAATTAATCATTATCCTAAGGGCATTCCCAGAACTCTTCTTATTTGAACTCATTTTCTGAGCTCAAAGAGTCTGAAGCATAGTTAGCTTAGTCTCTCTTCATCTTAAGAAGTCTCCTAAAGGCCCAATTATCACTGTCAGTAACTTTTCTCTGATTGATACATGGCCTGAAATTCAGAGTCTATGCTCGAAACACTAAACCCTGCTTTCTTCTCTCCAGCAGCCGAAAAGTCCTAGTAAGGGTTTGATAATTTTCCCCAAAGAGCCAGGGGACACGCACTGGGACACTCCACAACCTTGGAATCAGAATGCGGGCAGTCGGTGATAATCTGACCATCACTTAAGTTGCTGGTCCAGGGAGGGAGGCTCTCCATTTCCCACACTGAAGCCCCAACTGGATCCACAGGCGACCTCTTCTGACGAGGCCATAGTCAGGAGATTAAGAAAGAAAACAAGCTCCTTAAAAGTCTTCCAGCTAGAAATCTCAGCAGCTAACTAGTTTTTGTAAATTATTAGTGGGTAGTTCCATACTGTTCACCTCGCACCGTGCCGGCTACCCTGGGTTTCTTCCTTGAAATGACTAGCACTTGTAATTCCCAGAAGGCTGGCACTGCAGAAACACAATGGTAAAAACTAACATGCAGACCTATCTGCTTGGCTCATGGTGAGTGTCAGTGCGAGACGAAATAAGTACCCTTCATCCAGTTGTATCTTTCCATGTGCTCATGGCCCCAAATCAATATGAGCAGTTGTCTCTTAAGATCTTTTTTTATTTCTAAAAGAATAAACAAGATTGATAAACCCCTGGCCAGACTTATCAAAAAGAAAAGAGAAATGACCCAAATCAACAAAATCATGAATGACAGAGGAGAGATCACAACCAACACCAAAGAAATACAAACAATTATAAGAACATATGAGCAACTATATGCCAGCAAAATAGATAATCTGGAAGAAATGGATGCATTCCTAGAGATGTATCAACTACCAAAACTGAACCAGGAAGAAACAGAAAACCTGAACAGACCTATAACCACTAACAAATTGAAGCAGTCATCAAAAATCTCCCAACAAACAAAAGCCCAGGGCCAGATGGCTTCCCAGGGGAATTCTACTAAACATTTAAAGGAGAATTAATACCTATTCACCTACTGTTCCAAAAAATAGAAATGGAAGGAAAACTTCCAAACTCGTTTTATGAGGCCAGGATTACCTTGATCCCCAAACCAGACAAAGACCCCATCAAAAAGGAGAATTACAGACCAATATCCTTGATGAACATGGATGCAAAAATTCTCACCAAAATACGAGCCAGTAGGATCCAACAGTATAATTAAAAGTATTATTCACCATGACCAAGTGGGATTTATCCCTGGGCTGCAAGGTTAGCTCAACAACTGCAAATCAATCAATGTGATACAATACATTAACAAAAGAAAGAACAAGAATCATATGATCCTCTCAATAGATGCAGAAAAAGAATTTGACAAAGTACAGGATCCTTTCTTGATCAAAACTCTTCAGAGTATAGGCATAGAGGGTACATACCTCAATATCATAAAAGCCATCTATGAAAAACCAACAGCGAATATCATTCTCAATGGGGAAAAGCTGAGAGCTTTCCCCCTAAGGTCAGGAACATGGCAGGGATGTCCACTCTCACCACTGCTATTCAACATAGTATTAGAAGTCCTAGCCACAGCAATCAGACAACAAAAAGAAATGAAAGGCATCCAAATCGGCAAAGAGGAAGTCAAACTCTCACTCTTTGCAGATGATATGATATTTTATGTGGAAAACCCACAAGACTCCACCCCAAAACTGCTAGAACTCATACAGGAATTCAGTAAAGTGGCAGGATATAAAATCAATGCCTAGAAATCAGTGGTATTCCTATACACCAAAAACAAGACAGAAGAGAGAAATTAAGGAGTCGATCCCATTTACAATTGCACCCAAAACCATAAGATACCTAGGAATAAATCTCACCAAAAAGGCAAAGAATCTGTACTCAGAAAACTATAAAATACTCATGGAAAAAACTGAGGAAAACACAAAGAAATGGAAAACTTTCCATGCTCATGGATTGGAAGAACAAATATTGTGAAGATATCAATGCTACCTAGAGCAATATACACATTCAATGCAATCCCTATCAAAATACCATCCACTTTTTTCAAAGAAATGGAACAAATAATCCTAAAAGTTGTACGGAACCAGAAAAGACCCCAAAAAGCCAGAGGAATGTTGAAGAAAAGCAAAGCTGGTGGCATCACAATTCCAGACTTCAAGCTCTATTACAAAGCTGTCATCATCAAGACAGTAGGGTACTGGCACAAAAACAGACACATAGATCAAAGGAACAGAATAGCCCAGAAATGGACCCTCAACTCTATGGTCAACTAATCTTTGACAAAGCAGGAAAGAATGTCCAATGGAAAAAAGACAGTCTCTTCAACAAATGGTGTTGGGAAAATTGGACAGCCACATGCAGAAGAATGAAACTGGACCATTTCCTTACACCACACACAAAACTAGACTCCAAATGGTTGAAAGACCTAAACGTGAGACAGGAGTCCATTAAAATCCTAAAGGAGAACACAGGCAGCAACCTCTTCGACCCCAGCCACAGCAACTTCTTCCTAGAAACATAGCCAAAGGCAAGGGAAGCAAGGGCAAAAATGAACACTTGGGACCTCATCAAGATAAAAAGCTTTTGCACAGCAAAAGAAACAGTCCACAAAACCAAAAGACAACCAACATAATGGGAGAAGATATTTGCAAAGGACATATCAGATAAAGGGCTAGTATCCAAAATCTATAAAGAACTTCTTAAACTCAATACCCAAAGAAAAATAATCCAATCAAGAAATGGGCAGAAGACATGAACAGACATTTTTCCAAAGAAGACATCCAAATGGCCAATAGACACATGAAAAGGTGCTCAACATCGCTCGGCATCAGAGAAATCCAAATCAAAACCTCAATGAGATATCACCTCACACCCGTCAGAAGGGCTAAAATGAACAAGTCAGGAAATGACAGATGTTGGTGGGGATGCGGAGAAAGGGGAACCCTCCTACACCATTGTTGGGAATGCAAGCTGGTGCAGCCAGTCTGGAAAACAGTATGGAGGTTCTTCAAAAAGTTAAAAATAGAACTACCATATGATCCAGCAATTCCACTACTGGGTATTTACCCCAAAGATACAAATGTAGGGATCCGAAGGGGTACGTGCACCCTGATGTTTATAGCAGCAATATCCACAATAGCCAAACTGTGGAAAGAGCCAAGATGTCCATCGACAGATGAATGGATAAAGAAGAAGTGGTATATATACACAATGGAATATTATGTAGCCATCAAAAGGAATGAGATCTTGCCATTTGCAATGACGTGGATAGAACTGGAGGGTGTTATGCTGAGCAAAATAAGTCAATCAGAGAAGGACATGTATCATATGACCTCACTGATATGAGGAATTCTTAATCTCAGGAAACAAACTGAGGGTTGCTGGAGTGGTAGTGGTGGGAGGGATGGGGTGGCTGGGTGATAGACATTGGGGAGGGTATGTGCTATGGTGAGCACTGTGAATTGTGCAAGACTGTTGAATCACAGACCTGTACCTCTGAAACAAATAACACATTATATGTTTAAAAAAAAA